AGCATAATAAAACTCATTAAAACACTGCCAAAACGGAGAAGAGATTGACAAGATGGGATTACAGTGGGAAAGAAAAAAGCACTATGAGTAACCAAGAGTATTTCACATTATAACCATACAGCAAACACGGGGCACTTTGAACATATGCCCACACTGATACATTTGCACATAGGCCAACTCTTTTCTAAAAGCTTACCTACATAGCAAGAAGCAGAATCAAACGAGAGTCAGGAAATCTAGATTCTAAATCCTGCTCTGCTCTTAGACAAATCAGTTATCAGCCCTCTCTGTTCTTTTATAAAACAAAGTCCTATAGTCATGATGCTTAGGGCACTTTCAGTTATTTAAAATCAGGTGATTAAACCTGACTCTAGAATCTCCTTCAAGGCAAAGAGGAAGAACTGGAGTAAAGAAAAAGTATCATAAGCTCCATTTTCTAAGCAAACCAAGGTCTGCCCACCTGGACCCCGTTTCACCCCCACTTCCACACTGCCCATGGATCTCCCCTAGTCCCTCCCTCCAAAGTCAAACTATAACCCCACGCCAACCTGTCAGCTCCAGCACAACTCTCTCTTGGGTGATAACACAACTGAACTCTATAGAGTGATGCTAACTTCTCACACTAAAAATTCTGCGATTCTTTTATAAGAAGGCACACAAACTAAAAGCCAAGCTGTCAGTCCTATCTGACCAGTTCACTTTAGGCAGCCTTGGGGAAGCACTAGAAACAAATTGTTTCTAGTACTCAGAATAACCCTAGCAGGTTGATGCCAACTCACAGAAATCCTGAGTATCCGAGACTCTAACTCCCATCTTTATCCAGGGAGCAGCTGGTAGTTTCGAACTGCTGACCTTTTGGATCACAGCCCAACTCATAACTACTACGCCACCAGGACTCCTTAAGTATAGATTTCTTTTCTTTATAAATGAGGAAATTAGTTTTAGAATGGCTACTGTATTAGTCCAGGTACTTTGGAGAAACAAAACCATGGCGACTCACGTATAAGAGAGAGTTTAAGTAAAGAAAAGGTGCATCATGAAAACATCCCAACCCAATGCTGCCCAAGCCCACAAGTCCAACATTAACCCATTAACCCAACACCAGTCCATAAAGTCCTCCACCTCACAAAACAGAGGCAATGATGCCGACTGCAGGAGGAAAGCTGAGTCCATGAACGTGTAAGCATCTCAGCACTGGCAAGGGTCTCCACACGGCTACTCCGGCACCCAGGGCTGCATCGGGATAGATCCATGCGGCTTCTCCTTGGGGATGTCTTGGAGGAAGTCATTCTTGCAAGCTGAAGCAGGGAACTGCTAAGGCAGCTGCACCCGATACAACCATCACAAAACAAGAGACCCGAGAACTAGAAAGGCGAGGCTTCACCACCCATTTATCCCTCCGCCTTTCAACCAGCACATGTGATTATCGGCCAGGCTGGCACAATTAACTAACTCAGCTACCTAACTCTTTTCAAGGTTACATGGATGCTGAATTTACTGAAGATAGATGTGAACTCAAGAGATGCTCCAGACATTCCACTACTACTACTTTAAAAAGTTCACGAAAAAGTGAAATTAAAACTGAAATTTTCCATGAATTTTTTGAAGCCCCTTTATATATATGGTGCTCCCTGGACCTATGCTGCCATATGCACTATGTGAAGCAATTGAGAAGAATAAACCTGCTAAATTAAACTTGTCAAAAGTGATGAAATCATGTGTGTAGATAGATGTGTATAGACATAAAAGTGTATAGACATCTATATATAGGTGAGCATCTATAGATTTACGTATCTATGTGCAAACCCAAGCCCTTGCAATCAAATCCATTTCAATTCATATCAAACAGAGCAGACCTGGCTCATAGGGTTTTCAAAAATGTAAATATTTACAGAAGCAAATGGCTACATCTTTTCCTACAGAATGGTGGCTGCGTTTGAACCACAGACCTCTCAGCAGCTGAGTAGTTAACCATGGCACCACCGGTGCTCTTCTATCTATATGCAGGTGTTTCTATGTATACATGCTTCCATATATATTCATTCATGTAATACCTATGAAATGTGCAAAAAAATGAATATTTATTAAACATATCTGCAAGCCTGATTTATGGGCTCTGAAGTTTTAGAATTAGTGTCATGGAATAACATGGTCAAGTGGAATAATACAGTATATAAAGCTTACACTCTACGTCCTCGTTTGGTGAGGAGCTTCAAGATACAACTACTAGTTTCTTCTAGTCCAGAGTAAAAGAGATTGAAGGAAAGCAAACAGTCAGAAAAGAACCATGAACTCATCTACCTTGAGTCCAAAAGAATTATATGGTACCTGGCTAGCACAGAATTACTGACAGTTGGTAATAAAGGAGGAGAGTAGGTGTTCAAATAGTTGTTGAATGAATAACATGCCTTGTCATCTCCTCATATAATTTTCTGCTACTTGCTTGAGACAACTCCCTTAAGTCTTGGCAGCTAAGGTTAAAAATGCATTAATACTTTTAATAGGATGCCAGATTCTAGGCTATATGAATTATCAATATGAGGTTAACATGTACAATGCTTTTTAGGATATTAACCAAATAAAAGTATTCATAACAGCACCCTGGTGGTGCTGTGGGCGACACACTGGAGTGGTAACTGCAGCGTTGGTGGTTCAAACCACTAACTGCTCCAAGAGAAAATGAGGTTGGGTGCTCTTACAAAGACCTACGGTCATGGAAACCCTATATAAACCACTATGAATCAGGGAGAACATACTCAGCCTATCTCAAGCAGAACGAGCTAAATAAAACATTCAAACCTCGAGTTGCAATACAGAAGGATTCTATGGCAGAATAATAAATAATGCAAGAAGCATCAAAAGATGATGGAAGAATACACACACAATACCAAAAAAATCCCAAACCAAACTGGCTGCTATTACACCATATCAAAAGGGAACATGTGATCAAGAACTGATAATGAAAGAAGTTGTTCAAGCTGCACTGAAGGTATAAAAACACAAGGCACCAAGAACTGACAGAATATCAACTGAAATGTTTCAACAAGCAGATGCAAACACTGCAAGTCAGGATCTTTGGAAGCAGGTTTACTTGTCCAAAGGACTGGACAAGATCCCTATGTGTACCTATTCCAAAGAACATCATCACGTTAAGTAAAAGTTTGCATTTTAAAAGTTATAGGAGTATATTTATAAGAAGCTGACAGAAATTCAAGCCAGAATCAGAAGAGGATATGGAATGAGGGATATCACTGCTGACTTCTGATAGATGTTGGCTGGGAGAATGAGAATACCAGAAAGATGTACTTTATTGACAATTCAAAGGTACTTAACTGTGTGGTGAACAATAAATTATCAATAGCATTGGCAAAAATGAAAATTCCGGAACAATTCATTGTGCTCATGCTATGTGTGCTATGAACCTGTACATAGACATTGTACAGACATGGAATGACCTGTACAGTCACTCAAACTGAACAAGCGGATATTGCCTGGTTTAAGAACGGTACAGGCGTGTGTCAGAACTGTATCCTTTCACTGCGATATGCAGATGACACAGCTTTACTTCTTGGAATCAGAGGACCTGAAGCATGTACTGATGAATATCAAAGACTACAGCCTTCAATGTGGATTACACATCCGCATAAATAAAAAGGCTCACAAGGGACCAATAGACATCATGATAAACAGAGAATAGATTGAAATTGTCAGAATTCCACTTTTTCGGATACACAATCAACTGGTACTCATTTGATTTCTTGACTGGTACTTCCATGAAATGAAAGGATGGCAAGATTTTGTCTCACAGACTTCGTGCTTGTTATCAGGAGAGACCAGTTCTTGGAAAAGGACATCATCCTGGATAGTCAGTAAAAAAAAGAGGAAGGCCTTCAAGAAGATGGACTGACACACTGGTTGCAACAAATTGTTACACATAACAATTTGTGAGAATGGTACAGTGTTTACGATGGGGTACCTCCCAAAAAACAGAATTGCACTGCAGAGTGGAGCTTTCATAGTACATATTTTTCCCGCTCGGGGAGCACTGATCAACTCGCTGAGTTAGCGCTCCTGGTGGTGTTGCCTGGGAAAGTTTTATCTGGTCACAGTGAATTTTTTTTGTAAAATCAGTTTCACTCAAGCCTCATTTTTTGTGAGGCTGATTAAGAGGACGGTGTGCAGCTGTGAAATTTTGTTTCCTGCTCGGGAAAAATGATGCAGAAACTGTTGTGATGTTGAACCAGCTTACAATGATAGCACTATAGGAAAAACAAGTATACAAGCAGCTTTCTTATTTCAAAAAAGGTGAAAGGCTGATTGATGACAAACCTCATTCTGGAGGTCCATTAACTTCCCAAACTGACGGAAAAGAAAATGTGGACTTGTGGCACATTTAGAGTTCTTTCCAACAGGTCAGACTGTTAACCCAGCTTTCTAGTTAGAAGTTCTGAAAAGATTGTCTATGTGTGTGACAAAAAAGGCCTCCTTTGTGGCATAGGAGGGACTGGTTTTGCCACCACAACAATGCACCAGAGCTCATACAGCTATTTCAGCGAGTCAGTTTTTGGCAAAAAACATCATGCCTCTCTTGCTCCACACACCTGACTCACCTGACCTCAACTCCATGTGACTTCTTTTTGTTTCGGTGAATGAACAGGGACACAAAAGGATAGGCCATCTGAGCATGTAGAAGAGGTAAAGAAAAAAATGAGGGAGGTGCTGTCAGCCATCCAAACAAATGAGTTTGAAAGATGTTTCCAAGAATGGAATCGCAGATTTGACAAATGCATTAAGTGTAATGGAATAGAGAGTACTTTGAAGGTGATAAAAATTGTTTTGTGAAAAAACAAAAATTCTGTTTTGTGGGGGTACACCCTCGTAGTTCTGTTGCATGCAGGGTTACTATGAGTTGGAACCAACTCGATGGCACCAAATGACCGTTAACAACAGGAGTTATAATGTCCCAATTTAAAATTTACAATCATGAAGATTAAACTTACCTTTCTACAATCCATTCTGGTCGAATTACCTTTTCTCCCTTCAATTCTTTAATTTTGGCATTAGGAAGATTTGTGGCAATAATGTGTGTGGTTTTGGATCTGGAATAATACACATGGTATTGGCCTCCATGCAACATCATCAGCTTTCTCAACTCCTCAGCAGAAGGATCTGTAAAATTAATATTAAAATACATTAAAAGTTTTATGTATTAAGTAGAGCCCAGAAGCGAATCCCTAGTAATCTCTAAAGAGACCCATTTAATGAACAAATCACTGGTTCACAGGTTCTCTTTGGTTGTGCTGCAAGAAAACATAGCTTGAAGGTAAATCACAAAGCATTAAAGCTCTACCCCTGCCTTCACAATAATCTTGTCACCTGGCTGCCAGAGGTGCCACAGAAAGTCAACAAACACAAACACACGTACAGTTAAGAGGTACCTGCCAGAGCAAACAAGAACCTCGAGAAATGAATCACTTATCAAAAAAGTCAGTATTCAAGAAATTTTTACCATATTTAGGATACACGACCTCAATTTATCATCCTTTAAAAAAAATTAATACTTATAGACCCATTCATGGATCTCTTGACAGAAAATTCAGCTAATTGTTCAGGTCCTTCACAGTAAGGAAAGTAGTCAGATATATAAATTGCTCCTAACCTACTATAAGTACTTAGTGTAGGGTTTATGAGGCGCATTAATTTTAAGAAAACTAAAAATTTATTAAATTATCTTATAATTAAATTCCTTATTATGAAATTACATCAAGTCAAAAGAGTTCATCATGATTAAAAATATACATATATGAGCTACTAAACACTGTTTTATAGATTTTGCTTTAAATTACCAGTATATTTTATTAAGAACAAAATACCTTAAACAAGCATCGATGTAGCTTATGCTTTCCTAAAAAGAGAAATGCCTGACTCACTAAAGCTGTTATGATCTGCATTAGTATTACATTACGTTAATTATTTTCAATAGCTTTTCTGCTTCTTTTACCACTGTCCTTATGAACTAGCTCAGTCGCACTCCCTCCCCCAGCAACAGCTGTACCGAAGGGAAAGGTTTTCACAGGAGGCTCCCTATCTACTTTTTTATTCAAGCAAGACAGATTTTCTTTATCCTGAGGCAATACAAGCTGGAGTATGTAAATAAAATTCTTTTACTATTTAGGTGAGGTTTAGCTATTAGAACAATAACATAATACTTACAGATTTCTATGCCAGATTTGCCTAATTCTTACTACATTTTCATAGACCAGAATGCATTGCATGCTACTGACTGAACAGACCAGCACTGTCCAACAGGAACAATGTGAACCACTAATGCAAATCACATACGTAATCTGAAAATTTCTGGCAGACACATTAAAGAAAAATCTGGGACCAAAATTTACACTTATAAATTCATTATAATCACGATGGAGGCTTTCACCCTCTCACATTATCACTGTCTAAGAAATGGCACTGAATTGCTTGATTTATCCGAATTAAGTTAACTTTTCAACCTCTTCTAATAGTCTGGGTTCTTTGTTTCACAGTTAACAATTTCACGTTTTGCTACATTAGCCGCTTTAATAACATCTCTCCCCCAAAATGCTGATAATGTCCACTTAGCCATGTTGTATTCAGTCGCCAAATCAGACAAGCGGAGATCTGACTCAAATTTCAAATGATTTAACGCTATCATGGTTCTCAGTTTTCCTTAGTTTCATTAATGACTTCCTTTGGATCCAATGGTTATAACTGATGCAAATAAAGCGCGCAAAAAAAAAAAGCCAAGCATAATGACAAATGTTTTAATGCACTAACACAAGCACTGTATGTTGAGCGGCAGTGGTGCCAAACTGAAGCGTCAACCGCACCTTACTCCCTGTGTCCGCGGGGAGATGCAACCCACCACCCACTCTCGGCACATACAGGGTTTTTCAAGATGAGAATTTTTGGCTCGACTATTGAGCAAAGTTACAAACACCAAGCACATTTTTCCAAACTTTGTTGTTCGAGTAGTATAAAGTTCAAGCTTAGTGCCATTTCACAACCAAGGTATCCCTGTAATTCAAATTGCTGGTCACAAGCATGTTAGGTACAGAACATGGGTAGGGACAGTTCTACTCCACTGTACAACGTTCAACCTATAGCTCTTGAGTAATTCTGTTCATGTGATACACTGACCAATTTCACTATAAAACAAGAATTTCAATAAAATTACCAGGATGACTCCTCTATAGACCTCGAAGCTAAGTCATTGATCTAGCATTTACTGGGTTTTTTTTTCTGTCATATGTAAAACACGTTCAACAAATTAGTAAACTGCTTTGCTGTAATGAGGAAGACAGATGAACATTAAACTAGTGAGATTCAATTTTTAAAAAAGAGAAAAAGCAGAATGCTTCTTTGAAAAGAACTTACAGGAAATTTTTTTTTTTTTTTTTAGGAAATTCTTAAATACCAGACAAAAATGGTGTTTACATTACATTAACTTTCTTTTGAAAATTCTTGGCATATACTTATTATTTGCATTTGATCACTATATCAAAAAAAATCTGAGTTCACATGAATTTAAACTACTAAGGCTTTACAACTATTTTTTGAAAGTTTTATTTCAGGATTTACTTTAGAACTGCTTATTTACCCAAACAAAATGAAACATGCTGGTGGTATTGATGCTAACTCTTAGTAAATAACATACTTAAATATTTGTTTTTATTTATTTTCAGAACTCATATATAAAACTTTAAGTTTGTGAACACTTTAAGACATTTGATAATTCAAGTCAAACACGAATTAACAACAACCAGTAGCACTGCATCATTTATGGTCTGTAGAAACAAGAACTTCATTTAACCCTCAGCGTTGTCCTCCCTACCTTTACTTTCAAGCACCCCACTCAGAATGTAATAAGGGTTCCACGCGATTGTTTAATAGAACATGAAAAACTTAATATAGCACAAATAAGGTATTATGAGAACAGAGCTACTAAGTTTTTGATTGAACTAAACCTGAAAATTAGGTAAGATTTTGACATGTGGATAAGTTGAAGAAAGATGGTAGATAAAAATGTTGGAGGGGAGGGGTAAGGGGTGTGAGAGGGCTGAAATAGTTGGAAAGGATGTGGTTGTGGAATTAGAACAGGGGTCCTCAAACTTTTTAAACAGGGGGCCAGTTCATTGTCCCTCAGACTCGTTGTAGGCCAGACTATAGTTTAAAAAAAAAAACTATGAACAAATTCCTCTGCACACTGCACATATCTTATTTTGAAGTAAAAACCAAAACGGGGCAAAAACACCCAGCGGGCTGGATAAATGTCCTCGGAGGGTCGCATGTGGCTCACAGGCTGTAGTTTGAGGACGCCTGATTTAGAAGCATATTTTCAAAAAACAGGGAATAATGCAGTTTTGGAGAGAGCTGTGGGGTGAATTAGATGAGAATCCATGAGATAAAATAATGCAATTTGGATATATGCTTGAGTTTTAAAGAAAACAGTTAGAATCAGTGGCAGAAGTCACAGGGATATAGACTGGCTTAAGAAATTAATCAGAAATAACAATGTGTGAATAAAATTGGGATTGGCTTTGACAGCACAGCGCCAAAGCAGCTCATAAGAACCTGGCGACAAGGGCTGCAGCACTGACAAGCCCACAAACAAAAAAGCCACTGACATACAAAATTTAAAAGAAGGAAAAAGGAAAAAAAAACCCGAACAGATAGGCTGGAAAAAAAAAGAAAACGAAAAGAGGAAGAAAACAAACAAACAAAAGCCTGTTAGTAGATCAAGGTCTAGGCTTTCTACGCCTGTACAGATTTAGTCTTGGAAACCCACTGGGGCAGTTCTTCTTTGTCATACAGGATCAATGAGCGAGAACTGATTCAATGACAATGAGTTCTTGAGAGAGAGTGGTTGTCCCATCTATTTTTCAAACATTAAAGAAAAAATTCTCAGGCATCAAAAACCCAGAACAAAAAAAATCATCAATGTGAATGAGGGGGAGTGCAGAGTGGAGACCCAAAGCCCATCTGTAGCCTCTTTGACAACCCTTTACAGAAGGGTCACAAGGAAGAGACAAGCCAGTCAGGGTAAAGTACAGCACCGACGAAACATACAACTTTCCCCTAGTTCTTTAACGCTCCCCCCCACTATCATGAACCCAATTCTACCTTTCAAATCCAGCTAGACCAGAGTATGTACAGATAAGAGCTCAAAACATAGGGAATCCAGGGCAGATAAAGCCGTCAGAACCAATAATGATACTAGCGATACCAGGAGGGTAAAGGGAAAGTGGGGGAGAAAGGGGGAACTGAACACAATGATCTACATATAACCCCCTCCCAAGAGGACAGACAACAAAAAATGTGGGTGAAGGGAGACATCTAGCAGTGTAAGACATGAAAAAAAAAAAATTATCAGGGGTTCATGAGGAAGCAAGGGTGGGGGAGGGGAGAGGGGAAAATGAGTTGATACCAAGGGCTCAAGTAGAAAATGTTTTGAAAATGATGATGGCAACATATGCACAAACGTGCTTGACACAGTGGATAGATGTATGGATTGTGATAAGAGCTATGTGAGCCCCCCAATAAAATGATTTTTTTAAAAAGATGATTAGTTGTAATTTTTTTAAAAAAAGAAAGAACTGGGTGACTAACTGCAGATTAGGAAAAGCTGAAATCTAAGCTTGTCTTGCGGACATCAGGAAAGAAGATGCTTCAAGACACTAAAATCAAGAAAAATTCCTGATACAGGGACACTGGTCTCCTTCAAAAGCAAACATGTAGACAAGTCTCTAAAAGTAGGAAATACACGATTAAAAATCTGTATAAATGAGACTTCGCAAGTCTCTCACCCTAATCACAGAAAAGAAAGACTATGTGACCCCCCCTTCCATATACTAGGCACAAGGACAATACATTGGATTGTGGAAGTGGGGCAGCAGAGATTAAAAAAGGAATGGGGAGATTACATGAAATTCTCCATCCTACACACTGAGAATTCTGATCTTCTCTATCCCCTGGGCAACCAAAACGCTGGCAGCTATGTGCAGACTGTTCTTCAGGCAAGAAACAAAGATTCTTCTCTGGGAAATACGACCAGCTTCCCTCTGCCTACAAAGGACTTATGGACAGCAACGACTGTCAATTCACCAATGATAGGGCCCCACCTGCAAGGAAGCCCACATTCAGTTAGCTTCCAACCAGCTTTTTAAGCAAGAGAGCTAGTGTTTCTCATTTTGGGGCTCCTTAGATTCGTCAAACTAGGTACTCAGACAAAAATGAAAATGAAAAAAAGGCAATAGCTGGTAATATGGAAGGAGGGATCAGTATTTACATATATGGTTAAATTATTTAAAACAAAATTTTAAAGCGAATCCTTCTTAATTCTAATTAATACAGTAAAAAGTACTCAACCTGTATAGCCATTAACATAGATGGCAACTCCACTAAAAATCGTAGATGAATTTCCATCCTTTTGCATAGCAGCATCTGATCGAAACTGTTCTTCCAATTTCTGGACCTTTGCAGCCATATACCCACCCTAGAATTAAAGAAAAAGTAAATCAACTTCAACACAGCATTTGCCTTTTCAACATTTTTTACATTTACAATAAAGTGACAAGAACTATATCGTTATATACCACCATCACCACTATGCCTTTCCAAAAAATGTGATCACTCTTTACAGAATTATCAGTGTCCACTAACCATATTTACAAGGGGCTATTTTAAGTAATATTTCTTCTTTGGAGGGAGGTTTACTGATCACACAGTAAAATAATGACATCCTTAACATGAATCGCAAGGCAATAAAGCAGATTAAGACTTTCCCTGTCAACTCAATTTTTAACAATTCTACCGCATTTTTATAAGTTATTTTTAATGGGGAAAAGGGCAGATCAAAAATAATAAATATCACCAAGTACTTCCTGCCTACCACACAATCTAGCAAGAGTTATACCCCAAAGATTAAACCAATTAGAAATTTCACAAGTAGTCAATAAGCACGTATTTTAGACTGGCTCCCACTACCTCCTGTATATGGAGAGCACGGAATTAATTACTTCAGATATGATGAAGCATCTGGACCAATCAGTGCAGCCCTTCTCTCATGAGGCGCATGTGACTAGGACTACAATTATCTAGTAGTTAAATTCTGGATTTGGTCAATAAACTCAGTAATACTATCTTCTGGCATACCAGGGAACCTTTAAAAAGTTCATGGAGAAATTCATTCCATTTTTCCATAATCTTTCTGATGCCCTCTGCCCTGTCCCACATAACACCAACTTCAAGAATATTAAAATATTACTGTTTGGGGTAAATTCCACTACAAATCCATGAATACTATTTTACTTTTTCAGAAACATTTTATTAGGCTTGAGCGCTTTGAATAAAAGTCTTCAGGAAATCGCCACCACCACCACCACCACCAACCCCAAAATATAGGACTACAGTAGAAAGTTTAAATTGCGTATGACCGCATTCATTGTTACTATTTCAGGATATTACTTTCAAAGTTTACACTGTACAGGCCAGAAGCTTTATAAAAAAAATAGGGCCATATATAATAAGCCTTCACAACATACTGTTGAGTCAAGACCATCGCCCCTGTTTAGGAAACAAAAGGCTGAGTAATGATTGCCCAGTGATCCAATGTATGCGGTTTGTTTCTCTCATCAAACAAGGCTTTCTGTGTCTCAGTATTACTAGCAATGTTACAATACAATTATTGTACATTTTTCCACAGGATCAAAGTCTTGAGAGTAACTTGGAAGTTGAAGATAGTGTACATTGTAAAGCTTTCAATACATTAACTTCCAAAAAGTTTTAACAACGTACACTTGTGAAAACTCAAATAGTTAATGACTTATGCAATTTAAAACTTTTAAAAAATGCTTTAAGCCACACTATAAACTTGAATAAGAATGAAAAATACCTAGAAAGTTCAACACAATTATTTTTATTCTTTTGAAACACACCCATTTTTGCCAGCCATCATTTTCAGCTCGTTTCCTCCATCCACCTCGCCTCATGGTGGAGCTTCTGTAGTTGAGAGAGAGAATAAGTCGATTTTACAACACAATGTACTTTTGAGATTTCATTTTAATATCACAAAAAAAACACCCAAGAAATTAAAATAAACTCAAAATTTTATTAAAGTTAAAACCTACAATTCTGAGTAATTTTGTTCTCCAAACAAATATCCTAGGGCTAACTGTCATGTACAAATTATAAATACTTTAAGTGTCATTAGGGAAATTTTCTATGCACTCTTGAGCAGCAATAAAAACACTATTTGATATAATTCACCACCAAACCTCACAAATATGGCCAAATTTACTTAACTTGTTAGTATAACAGACCAAGTATACAGTTCTTTTCTTGAATTGCTCCTGATGAGACTCTTAAACCCTGTCTTTGCTATTACACACTGGACATTTAGGTCTATGCAATTCATCGACTGTGTGAAAAGTCCATTGGCCTATTAAAACAATACTTCATAGGATACAGGACAGAGATGATCAGGGATATAGATCAGTGAATCTGTCACTCTTCAGGCAAGATTAGGCCAACTAGAAAGGTGCACTAGAAAGTCACCATGACGACTACGATGCAAGTCAGTCATCTTCTGTGTCATTTATGTGTCAGCTTGCACAGACTATGTTGTCCAGGTGTTTGGTCAAACACTAGTCTAGATGTTCCTGTGAAGGTAGAGAAGTGACTAACATTTACAATCAATTGATTCCAAGTAAAGGAGATTACTCTTGATTATGTAGGTAGGCCTCATTCAATCAGTTGAAGGCCTTAAGAACAAGAACAGAGAAGGAATTCTCTGTTAAGATAGAATCTTTCTGGAGTTCCCAACCTACCACATGACCTATGATGGGTTTTAGACTTGCCAGCCCCACAAGCACACGAGCCAATTCCTTAAAATAACCTTTCTTCTCCACACATACACACACACAGGCCCCACATCTTATTCTCTGGAGAATGACTAATGCAATGATCAAATGATGGATTAAGTTTCAGATGGCTAAGTGGCCAGTGTGGTATAAAAAGTAGGTTCTAAATAAAACTCCTTTCACATTCTTCTAATCCTATGGCTACAACGTGGGATGTGACTGCATTATCCTTTGCAAAATTATTTTGACATCCATTTAAGATTATTTTCCTTCTATAACTATATAGGTGAATAGATGGTTTCCAAGTCAAATACACTTTTTGTTTGAAGTTTGATAAAGGTAGGGCTATGTTATTCAAGATCTTCACTCTTGAAATACTATATTTGACTATTAAATATTTCTTATCTTTCCAGTATGTTCACTTTGTACAATCCCTAAAGACGTCCTGCCTATACTGACAAAATCTGAGAAATTTATTCACATACAGTTCTTGATCACATATAAAATTCTCAACACCTGCTATTACAAGTAAGGAGTCTAAATAAATACAAATATTAGCCTATTAAGGAGCCTAAGTGGCCCTACTTGATAAGTATTGGGCTGCAAATCAAACCAGCCAGCCACTCTACTAGGTACATTTCAGTTAGCAGCCAAGCACTAACCACTGTACACCACAGATCCTTTAAAAATATAGTATAAATCAATCAAAAATTGTGTATCAAGAATGCAAAATAGAACAGCCGCTTTAGAAAACAAACATCTTACAAATGACAACACATAAGTGGGAATCTTTTGAAAAGAATAAAGCATGCAATACCAATGTTTATTTTAAATAAGCTATCTACAGCCTAAGAGCAGTAGATTCAGTGATTCAAGATTTGGGTTCTAATCCCAGTTCTACTAGTTTTGGGGAAGATGTAAGTGGTTAACAACTTGACTATTAGCTGGAAGGTTGCCAGTTCAAACCCACACAACAGCATCTCAGATAAAGGGTCAAGGGATCTGCTTCCAAAAGGTCACAGCTTTGAAACACCTATGATATTCTCTGGACACACGGTTCTCCAGGAGTCATAATCAACGGCAGAGCAACTAACAACAATCCCAGTTCTCCTGCTACCTAGCTATGATTTTAAGGTGGGCCCAAGAGCACTATGTCTGAAGAGTGTTCTGAAGACCCTCTGTAGGACGACGCCCAGGTGCAGAGTAAATGGAATAATGTGGGAGTAAAACAGTAAGCAAGTAAAGTTTCACTCTCTACATTCAACTTGAATTTTAGCAGGCCTGCTTTTCTAAGTTATAGATTCTTGACGTCTGAATAAGATCATTTGTGAAGAAAAAGTATAATTTGAAGAAAACTGAAACTACAAACTTTGGGTTCTAATCTGTGTTCCCACCTGTGACTCTACAAAAAGGGCAGGAAATGCCCCAACCATTGAATAGGTCTTTTCTAAAACTTTCTGGGAGCCCACAAAGAAAAACTAACCAAATAAGAGGCTGTCCCTGCAGCTGTGTCGCACCCCGCCCCCAATATCAATATACAAGACTTTTATAAAAGAGAGAGCGTGGGTCTAAAACAAACCCAGGGGATTCTCTCTTCCTGGTCTCGATCAAGGTGAAAAAGAGAACCCGATGCGGGAGTTCCACATCCACTGCCTCAACATCTGCATGGGGGAGAGTGGCGACAGACTGACCTGGGCAGCCAAACTGCTGGAGCAGCTCAATGGCCAGACCACGTCAAAGCCAGATACACCATCAGATCCTCTGGCATTAGGAGAAATGAAAAAACTGCTGTCCACTGCACAGTTCGTGGGGCCAAGGCAGAGGAAATCTTGGAGAAAGGTCTAAAGGTGTGGGAGGAGTACAAGTTATGGAAAAATAACTTCTCCAACACTGGAAACTTTGGATTTGGGACCCAGTAACACATCGACCTGGGGATCAAATATGACCCGCGCCTCGGTTTCTACGGCCTGGACTTCTACGAGGTGCTGGCGAGGCCAGGCGTCAGCACTGCCAACAAGAAGCGCAGACCAGGCTGCATGGGGCCAAACACAAAATCGGCAAAGAGGAGGCCATGCGCTGGTTCCAGAAGAAGTATGATGGGATCATCCTTCCTGGCAAATAAATTCGTTTCCAAAAGACCAATAAAAAGGTTACAGTGAAAAACAAACAAACAAAAAACCAGGGATCCTAAATGTCTACAATGTAAGAGATTGCTTGACTCCTCCTACTATTCAATGTTCATTAGCATTATATGATCCATCACACATAACTAAATTCTCGTCATGTATCTTAGAAACACCCAAATACATTTTCATCAGTGTATTAGTCTGGGTACTTTGGAGAAACAAATCCACAGCAACTCATGTATAAGAGACAGTTTTATGTAAAGAAAATGTGCATCATGAAAACATCCCAACCCAATGCTGCCCAAGCCCACAAGTCCAACATTAACCCATTAACCCAACACCAGTCCACAAAGTCCTCCACCTCACAAAACAGAGGCAATGATGCCGACTGCAGGAGGAAAGCTGAGTCAGTGAACGAACAAGCATCTCAGCACTAGCAGGGGTCTCCACACGGCTGCTCCAGCACCCAGGGCTGCATCGGGGTAGGTCCATGTAGCTTCTCCTTGGGGCTGTCTTGTAGGAAGTCATTCTTGCAAGCTGAAGCAGGGAATGCTAAGGCAGCTGCACCCGGTGCAACCATCACAAAACAAGAGACCCGAGAACTAGAAAGGCGAGGCTTACCACCCATTTATCCCTCCGCCTTTCAATTAGCCCCATATGTGATTATCAGTCAGGCTGGCACAATTAATTAACTCAATCAGTGTTAACCTACTGGTTACATATTTACGACTCTAGTGTCTATTGACTATTACATAAAAATATGGACTTGAAGCGGCTTTTCATCAGTCCTAGAGCTCTAGTCATATGTAGATTTGTAGCTTTATCTTTCCTTCATTTAATAGTTATTTAAGAAATACCTGCTGAAGAAATAGGAATGATGTAAATGATGAGCAGTGGATTAATGAATAAATGTGCATACTACAGTAGTACAGTACACGGCTCAAAAGGAAGTTTTGCGAATAGAACAGGGGAATGCTGCATGATTTAAAATCGAGAAGTGTGCGTCAGGGTTATAGCTTCTCACCATACTTATTCTGTAAGAGGGGATACCCCCCAAAACACAGGGGAAAAGCTCTGCTGGGCAGAGCTTCCATAGTATGCAATTTTCCCACTAGGCAAGCATCGAGCAACTCGCTTAGTGCACCTAGTGGTGTTACCAGGGAAGGTTCTCTCTGGTCACAGTGAATGTTTTGGTAAAAGCAGTTTCACTTGAACCTCGTTTTTTTGTGACAGCCAATTTAAGAGAAAAGCATGTGACTGTGAAATTTTGTTTTCTGCTCGAGAAAAATTGTTGTGATGCTGAACACAGCTTGGGAAAAACTCAAGGATAAGAGTGGGTTTCTCATTTCAAAAAAGGTGAAATGTCAATTCATGACAGAACTCATTCTAGATGTCTGTGAACGTCCCGAACAGGCAAAAATGTCGATAAAATTGATGTACTTGTGCTTGAAGATCGATGATGGACCATTAGAGATGGGAAAGTTATCTGGACTATCTTGGAACTCGGGTTGAGCACATTTGAAAAGATTGGGAATGAGAAGGGTTCCTGCAAAAGTTGTGCCTCCAGTTCTGACTGACCAGAAAAAAAGAGCTTCACTGGAAACATGCCGTGCTTTGAAGGAACAGTTCCAAAGTGACCCAAACTTTTGTTCCAAGGTCATTACTGGTGAGGAAACATGGTGCTATTCTTATGACCTCAAAAGCAATCATCAATCAAACCAGTGGAAGACACCATTATCATCTAACCCCCGCCCCCCTAAAAAAAAGCTCAAAAAGCTTCTCAGTGAAATCAAGGATCAAGACAATGCTCATTTGGTTTTGGGGTGGGTTTTTTTGTTTTTTAAAATCATTTCATTGGGGGCTTGTACAACTCCTAATACAAACCATACATCCATCGTGTCAAGCACATTTGTACATCTGTTGCCATCAGCATTCTCAAAACATTTGCTTTCTACTTGAGCCCTTGATATCAGCTCATTTTTCTTCT